GCCGGGCGAGGCGCGCCGGACACCCAGCGCGCACCACGGACCTGGCCTGACTCACGCAGTCCACGAACGACTAGCGCGCTGGCGCGGGCACAGCTGGCCACTACCATTGCCAGCACCACGGGCCCGCAGTAGATCGCACTCAGGCCCTGTGCGAGACATGCAGTGTAGCCAGTAGCCGAAGCCTGCGCGCGTGCGGGGCCAAGGAGTAAGCAATTTCTTTGTCGAAGACGTCTGGGTAGCACGGCGACGAAAAACGATCGCCATTCATGAGCTTGCCACCTTGCACTTCACACCAAAACAGAAACTGGATTTCAGTCGGAAGTACCAACACCCAAGTGTGAGCAACTGTGGATGATCCAAAATGGCCCTGGTTACGAAACTGCCCAAGCTCGTTGCTGGCCAAGTGCGTTGCTGTTCTTGCACTGCCGACGACATGTCGATGACTGCTGGAATTTCTGCCACGATAATGGCCTTGCCTTATTGGACCTGGTGGACCATCAGACTTCGGCGAAGAACGTCGGCAGCGTTTCAAGGGCGGACATCGCGCACTAATGTGACAGATTTCTCTATCCAGCGCGACGCGCAAACAAAGAAAAAAAAACTCCCAGCGCGAGTTGAATATCCGACGCGCGGGAAGGGAGCCACATTGCTCAGCGACAACCACAGCAACGCACGGCAGCGCCAGCTGACCGCCGACTTGCGGCCGCGCTCTCTGCCAGGAGATCCGCGCTCCACGACCGGCATCTGAGGTGCGTGGCAGGTCGAAGCGCGATCACCCTGGCGGCCCCTTACCTCGCTCGCCCCGCGGTCGCCACTGGGCCCACTGGCCAGCACGAGCGAACGTGCCGCGGCTCTTAGCAGACTCGGGCAATGGTCCGACGAGTCCCCCCTCCTTCCAGGAGCTGGTCAGAAGTGGAGGCACGTTCATCTTCGCATTGACGATGCGCGAGGTCATCTCGGCGCTGAACTCGCCGGACCGCCACCCTCTCGTCTCCTGCCTGACAGGGAGAAGGAGGGAGAAGGGCTTCGTTGTAGCACTCCCAGCGACAACAGGCCGTCGCGTCAATGCAAGCGCACGCGCGCAGAACAGACGCCCCCCGATCCCCCTGCAACCGCGGGGTTGAGCGAGTCGCAAAACGGCGGCGCACACGCCACACCTTCGGCGCGCCAGCTGCGGCACCGCCAAAGATGTTAACCAACGTGAGTCGCACAGAGTGCGGCGCGACGCGCCATTGACAAAATTGCCGGACGCGCGCGCCTTCACGGCGAATTGCGGTTGCAACGCGCCGGCGCGGCCTGCCAGACGCCCGCGCCAAGGCGGCCCCGCTGGGCGGCCTCGCTGGCTGCGAGGCGCCGAGGGCACCGTCGACGACGAAGACGTCGACGGCCTTCTCGCCATTGCACGCGGACACGCGAGGCACGTCGGCAGGGCTGACGCACCCATGCCCAAGCTCTGGTCGCAGCGTAGTGATCGAGGCGGCAAGGAGGGCGCAACGCGCCGCTGCTGTTTTCTGCCTGGGCATGCTGTCGCAGTAGACGCGAGCATGCCAACGCAGTGGCGGCGTGGGTCGTCTTGCCACGTGAGTGGCCTGACTTGCACCTGGACGAGCACACAGGTCGCGCACCTGCGGCCGCTGGCCAGGAAGCGACCGCAGCCGCCGCGCGCGTCGGCAGGCGCGTTGAGCCCCACTAGGATCGCACTGACAACTGCAGATAGCGGTTGCTGCTCAGCCGCTCAGCGCGCTGCCCACGACTGGAGGTTGAGGCAGCGGCGTCTCGTGGCGCCTTTCAAGCACGGCGTCTATAGGTGGAGGCCACGTTTGCCGGCGGGCGCCGGTCGCAGCAAAGCGGGCACCGGGCCGGCGGCCGCTTCCGCGGGAGGCATCGCGATGGAGGAAGTGGCTGAAGAGCGCGAACAGGGGAAGGCTGAGCAGAAGCAGAAGTGGGCGGATCTGGAGACCGCGCGGCGCTACTGCCTCGCTCTTCCAACGCGTTCCGGTTGCCTTCGCACGTCCTCCTCCTCGCGACTGTTCTCTTAATCCCCTGCCTGGCGTCGCACTCCTCGCCTCGAATTTGCCGCGTCTCCCGCGGCCACAGGCCCACCGCGCCCCCCCCGCCCTACCTTATCCAGCAGCAGCTGGCGCCCCGCGGCCCGCGGCGCGGCGGAAGCGGAGACTGATTTATTCGCGCCGCGCGCGGCGCGCATCCGCGGGCGCGGAAACGCCGGCGCGCGCGCGCATCTTGGCCAGGCAGAGGCGCGCGCAAACGCGCGCGCTAGGCCTCTCGCGGGGCGCCGCGGATCGGAGCACGGGGCCCCTCTGCGCGCCCGCCCGCTGACCCAAAGGCGTAGCAGAGAGGCCGCGCTCTCAGAGCCGCGGACGGGAGGCGGAGAAGAAAGCCTGATAGCACGCGACGCACTGCACGCTGACAAAGATGACAGAGAGGAAGCAGGAAACTGAGAAGCACATGTAGAATACGATGGACGTGAAAACGGAGACGAAGACGCAAGTCGAAGACGAAGCGAACGGAACAGTCAGCAAGCACACGCCGGATCAGCCCTGGCAGATGATAGACATGACAAAGCGCATTCGTCGCGAAACAGTTCGGCGAATTTATCATAATCAGATCCTTCGGTTGCAGACCAAGCGTGCACTCTACAAAGCGAGCATCTCATGCTCGGCTCTACGTGGACTTGTCGGCCCTGTCAGTGACAACGCGGCCCGTCGGAAAGGAGGTGGAGAGCTCTGCGAGGCTCGATCCCTCGGATCGCCTGGGCCTGCTCAACTAGCACACCGCAAGCGGAATGGACCGACAAAGCACGCATGTAGCGAGGGGGCGCCAAGCCGCTGAGTCGGCCAGCGAGACCTCGATGGAGGCACTCCGCCGGACGGCGGCCCAGCAGGCGACAACGCAGTGGACACGTCAAGCGAAGTGCCAGACCCGCAGCAGGTTGCGCACTGAAGGTAGATCACGCTGAGTGGTGAATGCACAGCTGAGAAACGGTGCGCAGCGAGGTAGCACTGCCCGCATCGGCCGGCATGCGCCTTGATCGAGCGTTCCTGTTCGCTGAGGCGGTGCTGTGGCTGAGTAGGTGGCTTGAAGGAGAGATGCAGAGAAAGGCTTGGAATTTGGTAAACGTGCACGCGGGCTGAAATCGCATGCCAGCTGGCCCGGCCCGCACAAAGCCTCTGCGAGCTGCGTCCGGTGCGCCATAGCCGATCGCAGCCTGACTGTGGTTAGGAAAAAACATCTTCGGTTCCAGCAGGCATTCTGGGAGGTAGTTGGAGACGAGCTTCGCCATACGTAGGTGCGCTTGGTGCGCCAACCTGCGCGCGCACAAGCGCACAGCCGGTCGCAACGGCGCCCCAACGTGCGTAGCACAGTGCGTTGTTGGGCACAACCGTGGCATGCCTCTGCCTTTGCGCACGCTCCGGCGCACAGTTGAACGCACTGATGCCCAGCGCGCGCTTCAAGGCTCGTTGGTGCGCGCGGGCGTTGCACGTCGCGCGTGCTGAGCTGCGCAGTCATGCCCCAAGCGAAGCTGCGGCCAGTGCTGTGGGGTGCAATGGGTCGGGGATAATCGCGCCGCTCACGTGAGCGAGTCGCTTCACATCGCGGCACCGCCTGCGTCTGCTATTGTCCTGTGCAGCTGGACTCTCACACGTCTCATACGGCACGGCGTTTGTCGTCATCGCAGCCTGACAGCGCCCAGGGCGAAGTACCAGACGGTTTACAGAACAAGCATAACCACAGGCTGTTCGCGGGACGGAAGGTGTCGCGACATTGAAGACAAGGTTGGGAGAAGTTCGAACGTGCGCCCATATCGCACGATGCAAAATGCGCAGCTCTGTGGATCGCGAGTTGGGATTGCTCACAGCTCCGCTACCAACTCTCAACACTATACACTTACGCGGGCGCGCTGTGAGCCAGACGGCAGCGGACCCCTCCTATTCGAGTAAGGGGGAAGATGAGGACAAGGAGAATGGGGAGGATGAGGAAGAGAGGAAAGGAGGAGGAGGAGGAGAAGGAGGGAGGAGGAGGAGGAAGAAGAAGAGGAGGAGGGGGGCGGAGGCATGTGCGTGGACGAGAGGGCCAGCAGGGAGTACCGCAAGAAGAAGACGGGCCATGAGGCCATGATATCCACACACACATTGTCCTCGCCCCCCTTTTGGACGCCCCCGGCAAGCCAGTACCTGCTTCTTGTGAAGAGCAGTTTCTTAGAGCGAGCGTCGAACATCGGGCCGCAAGGCAGGGCTCGCGGCGAGACGGAGATGCACTACGTCGCGGGTCCCGCTCTGACAGGAAAGCCCGTCAAGAGCTCGGCCAAGTCAGCGCGCCCCTGGGATCCAGCAACACTTCGCTGCTGAACAAGATACCTTTGTGGCACGCCGTGCTCCATGAATAAGCTGTTGAGTCATGTGTGGGCTGCAGATTTGAAATCGGCATCTGCTCTGGAGGGATCCGCTCCTTCGAACCACCAGCAAATGACGCATTCGGAATCGACAACCGGGCCAGTCCGAAATCTTTCAGATGGACCATCAGCATCACAGCATCAGGAAGACCTGGAGAATCGAGGAGGACTATGTCCTGGGCGATTCCCTGTTCTGCAATACGGGCCTTTCTGCAAAGGGGCCCTAAGTGGCGCGCAACTCCCATACAGCCATCCGCTCCGAGGTTTTCACAAAGTTGCTGAAGCTTTGGAGCTGGAGCAGTGGAAGAAAAGAGAGAGGAGAGAGGGCGAGAGAGGGGGGGGAGAAAGTGAGGAGGAGAGAGAGGCGAGGAGAGACGAGGAGAGACGAGGAGAAACGAGGAGAAACGAGGGAGGTGAGGGGATGGGGGGTGGGGGGGGGGAATCAGGACGAAGAGCGGTGGGAGGGGCGAGCAGGGGGCGGCGGCGTAGGAGGAGCGCGGGGTGAGCGGCGGAGGAGCAGCCGCTGGCCCGCAGGCCCCCCGAGGCGGCCGCGGCCGACGGCGCCGTGGCCCCGGCCCGGCCGCGCCAC